TCTGCCTTCCTTCTAGTCTATTGCGTTAAAATTAGGGACGGCTAGCTCAGATAACTCTCGAGTAACTTTGCGCTAAATGAAACAAACAAGCAAATATATATAGGAACAACGGTATCTCTTGGATTGTTCATAAGAAAAACAACAATTTGTTAGTTTGTTTTACAGCAAAGCCACAGTGGGCTATCTGCTGTGTCCACCACAGAGAATCGAACCCTGGATTTTAGCGATGTAAATCTGTCGACTTATCGCTGTTCCACCAGGGGAACTTCAGTTTAATACTCTAAAAAAAGTCAGGGTTTATAGCAAAAAATTTGTTTTGTTTTGTAACCGTTCTCCATTCAGCAGGACCTCAATACATTTTCTAAGTTATTTATTATTGATGTTTTTGTGTTTACAACCCATTTCAAATGATATTAAACCTACCTTGCAAGGTCCACAAAAGTCGACGTTATTATTATTTTGTATCTTATTAATAAGATACTCTCATCTCTAAGTTTCATGATTTTGTCATCTTCAGATTTCAAGGCTATTAAACGAGGTAACCGAATTGATCTGTTATTAAAATGTGTTTGTGGTAATTTAGGTAATGCTGCTGGTAATGTCAGCTGTGGATTAAATGTTACTTCACGTGCGTTTTAATGCAAAGCCTGAAATTGAAAATAACCAACGTTAGCGAGATTCGAACACTTCATTAATGGTTGTTGTTTTTTTTTAAACGGAGTTTTTTTTCAGATTTATTCTGTGTCTTGTTAGTACTCTGAAATAAGCTATGCATGATTAATTGGACGATACACTGTTTGAGAAATTAAGAATATAAGTATGTATATAAACACCATTGACAACGTTTTTATTTGTTATATTTAATGCGGATTTTTTTTTTGAGTTGTTGATACAATCACTGTTATTAATGAGTCCACTGGTGGAACAGCGGTAAGTTTACGGAGTTACAACATTAAAACCCGGGTTCGATTCCCTGCAGTTATTAATGAATACTGAGCGACACTTAAGGATTATGCTTTTGTTTATTTGTTTGCTGAATTTCGGCAGAAATACTCTAGGGCCATCTGCGCAAGCCATCCCAAACTTGGGAGTGATAGATTAGACGAATAGTAGCTAGTCAATATCAACCACTGCAAACTCTGAGGCTACTCTTTAGAAGAAAAGTGGGATTGACCGTAACATTATAATGCCATTATGGCTGAAAAGACGAACATGTTCGATGATTGGATTCGAACCCGCGATCCGCAGATTTCGAGTCGAGAGCTGTAACCATCAGGGCAAGCCAGGACTCTAAGGCTTGTGGCATACTTAGCTAAAAGAAACCTCTCTTGGACTTGCTTTTTTTCTCTATAAGTTGAGCTGAGGTGGTCTAGATGTCAAGAGTTGAAGTTGAAATCCCTTTATAAACGTTGTGGGACCAAGCGTGACCTAACTGTTAGCGTGCCGAAATGCGCCTCGGAAGATCCAAGGTTCGATCCTTTTGAATAAATCCCACACTTTTAGATGTAGAAGTGTAACGACTGCAATGTTCAATCCCAGAATTCGGTTAAGAGTAGCCTCATAGGCGGCGTGTGTGTTCCAGACTGATCGCTCTCACTCTGATCAGCAATTCGAAGTTAAGGATAGATATAGTCCTGAAACGTAAAGTTCTCTGACCAGAGAACTGATGTATCACCGACTTTAAGTGATTCCTTCTTCTGTAGCAGTTTTTCTGTTTACTTCGTGAACAAAGAAACTGTACGATTCAAATTAATAAGGTTTCCGTTATTATTAACAGATTTAGTACGTTGAAAGACACCCGTTCAACGTACAAAGCCAGTGTATTTTATTAGAACTCCAGAAGATTAGACCATCTTTCTCTACGATAGTAAGTTTAAAACCACAAAATGAATGAAAGTAGCTTGTTTGAATATTTCAAATATTATGGACTGCAATCGAATATGTCAAATATTATGGGCTGTAATCGAATATGTCAAATATTATGGGCTGTAATCGAATATGTCAAATATTATGGGCTGTAATCGAATATGACAAATATTATGGGCTGCAATTGAATATTTCAAATATTATGGGCTGTAATCGAATATGTCAAATATTATGGGCTGTAATCAAATATGTCAAATATTATGGGCTGTAATCGAATATGTCAAATATTATGGGCTGTAATCGAATATGATCAAATATTATGGGCTGTAATCGAATATGTCAAATATTATGAGCTGCAACTGGTGGCAAATTCGGCGTCCAAGTTCCTCCCAAGGATTTCTATCGGACTGAGATCCAGGTATTGGTAACCATCTATGAACCAAAAAGGACAATACGAGCTCAGTGGCTTGTTGTGTTAGTGTCTTAGAAAAAAAAACCCTGTCCTATATTGAATGAATGCAGCAATGTAAAATGGGCGCAATTAACAACAACATTCAACTGTTCTCAACACATTATTCACTCTTCTGAAGGTACCAAATCCCTGATGTAGAATGTTCCTTTAACTCACCTCCGGTAGCGGAACAACACATTATTCACTCTTCTGAAGGTACCAAAAGACCAAATCCCTGATGTAGAATGTTCCTTTAACTCACCTCCGGTAGCGGAACAACACATTATTCACTCTTCTGAAGGTACCAAATCCCTGATGTAGAATGTTCCTTTAACTCACCTCCGGTAGCGGAACAACACATTATTCACTCTTCTGAAGGTACCAAATCCCTGATGTAGAATGTTCCTTTAACTCACCTCCGGTAGCGGAACAACACATTCTGGGTCTATGTAGAGTTGTGAATAGTTTTACTCTAGCATCGGTCCAGTGAAGAGTGAAATGTTATTCATCAGATCACATCTTAGGCTTCCATACATCCATTGTCCATAGTTTGTCTTCTAGGCACGCATGGAGTGAGACTTTCTTTTTTATATCCCAGATAAGCGTTTCTGAATTGGTTGTCAGCTGCCATATGACAATGGTGTTTTTATGGCATTTATACGATGCTGGAAATTTTTTGTCTTTTAGAATTTGTAGTGCATACTGGTGGAATTTACACATTTTGATAATAAAGTTTGAGAAAAAAACGACCTTTATACTCCAGATAATTATAAGAGAATTTTTATTTTAAGCGACGTTTCGCCTTTGCGGCTTCATCAGGGTTAATTTAGAGATAGTCAAATCCTGACTAACGTCGAAGGAATCTGTCAACCGGGACTGACGTTGTTTGTATTTACAAGCCTGTCCAATCGTCATTCCCTCGGTGGGTGACCATAGTTTTTGGTTTTAATAGGTACATCCCCCTTTCGATTGTCACTGTTGATAGACTTTTATTTAAAAGTTTGTGAATCCAATCAAAGGAATGATCTTTAATAACGAGACTTCTTTTGGACGAGCATCAGTTATCACG